TTTGTGCCTCTGAATATGGAGCTTCTCCTCAGTCAACATAGCTAGTAGCTACTGCCAGACCTTTCCCTACGTGAATCTAATCCCCGTTTAAAGCTGTTTATACCTGTGGCCATCGCTACACCCTTTGGCAGTGAATTCCACGTTTTAATCCCCAATATTTTAATCCCAAATACCCTTCAGCCCAAGTGATGTGAATCAGGATCCGGGGGTGGGGGGGTGGCTGGGTTGCAGGCATGCAATGGAGGGAAAGGTGTGAGGAGGGCCCTCCCTGCATCTACTGATTCTGCCGGGCAAATCCCTTCATGGCTATTATCAGGGCTATTTGGGGGGCCGGAACACACAAGAACGGAGTTCCGGCTGGCTTCAGAGTTGGCCACGCCCACTACAGCCAAAACCTCTGCGTGCCTGGCTACAGAGGGAAGGCCTCGAGAGCGACCACCACCCCAAGCGACCCCAAGGCGGGAGGGTGGGGTGGGGGCTGGAAGGATCAGGGTGGCATTTAAATGCCTCCCTGTGCCTTCCCCAGCCTGTCTGAGGGCCGGCTTGCCCGGGCTCCCCACAGCAGTGGGGCTCCCAGGTAAACCAAGGGAAGGCATGGGGGTGTGGCCTAATATGCTAATAAGCGTATGCTGTTGGGTGTGGACTATTATGCTAATGAGTTCCTGCTGGGCTTTTTCTAAAAAAAGAGCCCTGGCTATTATACAACTGTCCCTCCCAGTCCAGCATACAACCAGTCTCAATGCCAACATGGGGAGGAATGGATCACAAACTATGTTGTGGGAGCACTGAAAGGGTGGGGTTGCGAGGTCCCCCTGGCCTCCAGCGGGGGATGGGGGGTGGTGCAGGGTTGCCAGCTCCAGGTTGGGAAACTCCTGAAGTTTTGGGGATGGAGCCTGGGGAGGACATGGACCTCAGTGGTATACAAGGCCACAGAGTCCCCCCTCCAAAGCATCCATTGTGTTCAGGGGAACTGACCTCTATAGTCTGGAGATGAGCTTTAATCCTGGGGAATCCCTAGGTCCCACCTGGAGGTTGGCACCAAGGCTCCCTCTGAGCTGTGGAGTCCTGTGAGCAAATATTCTACTTGGTGAGCTCCTGGCATTAAAGTGAGCGAGCGATTTGGCTCCTGCATAAATTAGTTTGCTCTGGAGCCGTCCTTCCTGAGCTAAGACAAAAATCTGTGAGCCGGAGGCTAAAAAACTGAGCTGGCTCACACTAACTCAGCTTAGAGGGAACACTGGTTGGCACCAATGCTCCCTCTAAGCTGTGGAGTCTTGTGAGCAAAAATTCTACTTTGTGAGCTACCAGCATTCAAATTATGAGCGAGCGATTTGGCTACTGCATAAAATAGTTTGCTCTGGAGTGATCCTTCCTGAGCTAAGACAAAAACGAGTGAGCTGGAGGCTAAAAAAACGTGACCTGGCTCACACTAACTCAGCTTAGAGTTGGGTTGTCAGGTCCCCCGGGAGGGCGGAGGTTCCCTCGCTAAAAGGGTCCCTAATCTGCCAGTCTGGAAAAGGCCGGTGGGGGGAAACCCACCCCAAAGTGTCCCGCTTGGCCGACGTGCCTGGCACGATGATGTCACCCGGAGGTGACATCATCACACCGGGCACGTCGCCGGCTGACGCTGTAGCAACCAGCCTGAAAACTCTATGGTACCATAGAGTTTCTAGGCTGATCGCTAGAGTGTCAGCCGGCAACGTGCCCAACATGATGATGTCACTTCTGGGTGATGTCATCGCAGCGCGGGCACGCGAATGCCCCGGGCAGGAACCAACTCTCCCCCGCTATTAGCGGTGACTTGGCAACCCTAGCTTAGAGGGAAGGTGTAGTGGTTGCTAGAAACATCACAAGATGCTTTCCCAGTGATGGACAAGCAAATGCTTTGATACTGGACATCAGTAGCCAGACTTGATCGCCAGGTTGAATGTCATGGCAAGCCACATCAGCCGGGAAAGATTGGGAGTTCTAGACTTCAGAATGGAGTACCTTTAAAGGGGTAGTGAGAAACAAAATATATTTAGTCACACAATCACTTTCTTCAGTCAGGCTTTGCAGCCTGTGAGGGTTATAATACACAGGGAAACCTTCCAACCAAAATCACAAAAATAAGATCAACCTATATTTTCTGTTAGGCTTATTCCTAATGTGTAAATGAGCAAGAGGCAATGCTTCCAACAAATTTAAACCTGTGGCTTCACAAATCTCTTCAATTTATCTTTTATGAACCTATTCTTCCTTTCTATGGCCCCTGAGCTATCTGTATATGTGCTGCATGAGTAATCTGCAGTGCCTCAAGCGTTTAAACACATTAGCAATAAATGATGGTCCTAAGTCCTGTGGTTATAGGTCAACTTAAAATTTAAATTCAACTTAAAAATATATCAAGAACAATTAAACAATATTCATACCCTTGACAAAGTGTTAAATCAGTTTAAAGATGTTGGAATGCTCCAAAAATAAACAAGGGTAGGCACAATTTTGTTTGGGTTCCTTTTAAACCCAAAAATGGGGGGTTGTGGAAAGAAATTTTAGAAATATAGAAAGTTTGGGTTTAAAAATGAACCAAATAGTTTATAAAATCTATACAGCTGTCTCTGTCTTTGCTAGCAAAACAGCAAACAGGCTGTTCCAGACAAATCTCTTTCTTGGTCACACACAAAGGTCACACATTCCATTCCCAGGAAATCCCCCAGGTGTGAGACCCCCAGTTTCCTGGGCAATAAACTGCAGCTGGGCAATGACAGACTTCAATCCAAAAGGCAAACTAACTTCCTGAGATACAGAGATTTCACACTCCCCGCTTTCATCTTAGTGATAACATTAAAAGGACAGTTTATTTACCATAATTGGGAAACACCAGGAGAAAACAATGACACTGTATTGATCCTGTGGAATGTGAACTTTTGTTGTGTAAGACCAAGGACGCAATTTCCTGCAAGACAATTTCAACTTCTCAATGTTAATTTACAACTGTAAATTAAGGGACCTCTTTGATCATGTGGTATAAATACTGGTCCAATCCAACAGACTCTTGCTGGCTCTTAGTAGGAGTCAGCCCGAGAGGCCTCTCGTTCTGTGCATGCTTTGGGGTGGGATAGGACTTTGCTTGCATGTTTATTTTTCTGTGTATTTACTATCAATATTTAGGAGATAGAATTCTACTGTATTGGCAAGCTGGCATAGCGTCTTGCTGGTCACCTTGCCAGGTAAAACTTTGAATGTTTTTATTTTAATAAAGATAAGTTTTACTTTAAGAAGAGACCTTTGAGTGTCTCTGCCAGCGCTGAGCGGTTTTCAAGCTTACACCTCTGCCTTTGGTAAGGAGGCAACACTCAGG